CAAAGTACAGTGCGGGTTTACCGGAAATATTGAGGAAAGACAAAGTATAGCGCGGGTTTACCCGGAATATTGAGGAAAGACAAAGTGCAGTGCGGGTTTACGGGAATATTGAGGAAGGATAAAGTACAGTGCAGGTTTACCGAAAATATTGAGGAAGGACAGAGTATAGTGCGGGTTTACCGAAAATATTGAGGAAAGACAAAGTATAGCGCGGGTTTACCAGAAATATTGAGGAAAGACAAAGTACAGTGCGGGTTTACCGGAAATATTGAGGAAAGACAAAGTATAGCGCGGGTTTACCCGGAATATTGAGGAAAGACAAAGTGCAGTGCGGGTTTACGGGAATATTGAGGAAGGATAAAGTACAGTGCAGGTTTACCGAAAATATTGAGGAAGGACAGAGTATAGTGCGGGTTTACCGAAAATATTGAGGAAGGACAAATTACAGTGCGTGTTTACCGGAAATACCGGGACAATCAAAATGTAGCTCTCGTTTAAAGGAATGTTGGATATGTTGCAGAAAGGCAACCAAAGAGTGTGTTTATATGACGTTATTATAGGACAAATACGAACGGTATTACAACTTTTCTCAGTCCCTCTTCTTAGCCAAACGGGAAAGCGCACGAAGAAGGAAACTGCAGTATTGGACTTGTGATAAACTCATGGACGTTTAGGTGGAAACTCTACCGTTGCTCTTCTACACCATTCTAAACTAGCTGTAGTACATGTGTATCCCTCACGATGACTTCTGGGAAGGCGCCAGGGCAGTGAACCTAAGTTTGGCCAGTCCCGTCGGATCCTGGGGAGAAACAAGCCCCGTTACCCAGCATGACATCGTCCCAGGAAGCAGCGCCAGACAACATTAACTACAGTCCTCTCACATTGTTTAGATTATATACCATTACCATCGTAACATCAATGTTCCGATACTGGAAACCTTAACAAAGCGGCATATATATACTTTAATTACAAGGCCTTTGTCCTTATTTGATACAATGAGAGCTTTTTTTACAATAAAACATTTTAAAAATATATCTAGTGGAAAAAAAATCCGTAGTTTGGTGGCATTTCTATTTATTTAAAAAAAAAAAAAAAAAAACTCCCTAGTCACTTTAAAACGGTTAAGACTTGAAATATTGTTTGTAGATGTACTTTATTTTTAAAATGCAGCAGAAAGTACAATCTTTCTACTGATTCCTACAGTAGAAATAAATTGGTTTAAAATCTACTCTTTACTTTAAAATAATGTAATGTCGCATATACCTTCCACGCGCTCAGTTGCCTTTTACTGGAGACATTGTAGGGGAACTCGGAAGATGTGGAAGAGCATACTGTATGAAACTGCGAGGTCAAATTGATATGATTAAACATATTCTTAGCAAAGATTCAGTGTAACAGATTCCACACGAGATTTTATTTAACAAAATCCCGCAGAAGAATTCCGCTTGAAACACGGTAGAGTAGTCTCCCCTCTATGTTGAAGATGAAAACAAAGACTTAATTAATCACATTTCGTGGTTAAGTAGTCATTTATTTTTATACACGGTGGGCCATTCAGAGCGAAAATATAAGAGGAACTGATCACATTTCATGATGGGGCAGATTTGCAGTTTTATCACTTGATTTACGAAAGGTTTTTTTTCCAGCCCACGTGGGTAAAGACAAATAACTCGTTTAATTTTCGGCGAAGATCAATGTATGTTTTTTTCCGGTATCCTCGATTTGTCATGGCTTACGATCACTTACAATCTGTCCTTGGCTCGCGAAGATGGCTTGGTGGCGGCCTTCTAGGTCTCTTATTGCTAGTTCATTCAATATATCATTTTAGTTATTTTCATATTATATAAAATCTTCTCGTGTTAAAGCAGATTTAAACATTCGTGTTTTGTAAACATGCCCCCACCCCCATCTGTATTTTTGACTTGTTTCAGAAAAAGAGTGACAGATAAGCCCATCCTGCTAGTTATAACAAATTATGAACTTTGTCCTTGGTTAAAAAGACCAGAGCTTTTCGATGTTGTTCAGCATCGTGGACAGTTTAACTGGCATGCCTTCATCCTGTGTATTTTCACCAATGATAGACATAAATTAGTTTAGTTTTGACACATTTTATCTGCATCAAAAACATACAAATGGGTCGGGCAAATGTTTAGTAATGATATGCATTATACAATAATAATGACAGACTGTTAACTAGATATGTCACCCTCTGTCTTTGGTCATCAGTTTGTAAGTGTTGTGTTTCAGACTATCATGGTCTACAACTACAGCTATCTAGATTTCAGAACGGTATTTTGTCCAGCATGCTTTTGATGTTTCAATCATCTTAATGTGTTTTTGGAAGGCCGATCACGCTTGTGAGTAATATGCACGCTTAATTCAGTTCTGTTTATCTTTACCTCGCCTCATCAGTCTAGTTTTTGTTATACCAACGCCTGTTGACAACAAGCACTTTTATAGAGAATATGCTAGTTCTTAAATAAGCAAGGTTGACTCAATATTTTCTACAGTTTCACTTTACTTAATTTTAACTATTGTTACATGGCACTTTTGTAGTAGAAGACATTTTACAGAGTGCTACACATCTCCTTTTAAACAAATCTTGGGAAAAACGTATTACAATTTATTACGCATTAAAAGAATTTTTAACAGGATAAATCTATTGCTTTGTTCCTTTCAAGTGAGGGTTGGGCCCATATGCTTCTGTGTATCATGTCATGCCGACATGCTTTCTACATGTTTTATGTTAGTTCTCCTTTGTTTTACTTTTTGTTACTTGTCCATGTTTTATTTTCCTCTGTACTTCTATGTTTTATTTTCCTCTGTACTTCTATGTTTTATTTTCCTCTGTACTTCCATGTTTTATTTTCCTCTGTACTTCTATGTTTTATTTTCCTCTGTACTTCTATGTTTTATTTTCCTCTCTGTTTTATTTTCCTCTGTACTTATGTTTTATTTTTTCCTTCTATGTTTTACTGTACTTCTATGTTTTATTTTCCTCTGTACTTCTATGTTTTATTTTCCTCTGTACTTCCATGTTTTATTTTCCTCTGTACTTCCATGTTTTATTTTTCCTATTTTTCTCTGTACTTCTACTGTTTTATTTTCCTCTGTACTATGTTTTATTTTCCTCTGTACTTCTATGTTTTATTTTCCTCTGTACTTCCATGTTTTATTTTTCTCTGTACTTCTATGTTTTATTTTCTTCTGTACTTCTATGTTTTATTTTCCTCTGTACTTCCATGTTTTATTTTCCTCTGTACTTCCATGTTTTATTTTCCTCTGTACTTCCATGTTTTATTTTCCACTGTACTTCCATGTTTTATTTTCCACTGTACTTCCATGTTTTATTTTCCTCTGTACTTCTATGTTTTATTTTCCTACTTCCATGTTTTATTTTCCTCTGTACTGCTATGTTTTATTTTCCTCTGTACTTCTATGTTTTATTTTCCTACTTCCATGTTTTATTTTCCTCTGTACTGCTATGTTTTATTTTCCTACTTCCATGTTTTATTTTCCTCTGTACTTCTATGTTTTATTTTCCTACTTCCATGTTTTATTTTCCTCTGTACTTCTATGTTTTATTTTCCTACTTCCATGTTTTATTTTCCTCTGTACTGCTATGTTTTATTTTCCTCTGTACTTCCATGTTTTATTTTCCTCTGTACTGCTATGTTTTATTTTCCTCTGTACTTCCATGTTTTATTTTCCTCTGTACTTCCATGTTTTATTTTCCTCTGTACTTCTATGTTTTATTTTCCTCTGTACTTCTATGTTTTATTTTCCTCTGTACTTCCATGTTTTATTTTCCTGTACTTCCATGTACTTACCATGTTTTATTTTCCTCTGTACTGCTATGTTTTATTTTCCTCTGTACTTCTATGTTTTATTTTCCTCTGTACTTCTATGTTTTATTTTCCTACTTCCATGTTTTATTTTCCTCTGTACTGCTATGTTTTATTTTCCTCTGTACTTCCATGTTTTATTTTTCCTGCTGTTTTACTGTACTGCTATGTTTTATTTTCCTCTGTACTTCCATGTTTTATTTTCCTCTGTACTTCCATGTTTTATTTTCCTCTGTACTGCTATGTTTTATTTTCCTCTGTACTTCCATGTTTTATTTTCCTCTGTACTGCTATGTTTTATTTTCCTCTGTACTTCCATGTTTTACTTCTATGTTTTATTTTCCTCTGTACTATGTTTTATTTTTCCTCTATGTACTTCCATGTTTTATTTTCCTCTATGTACTTCCATGTTTTATTTTTCCTCTATGTTTTATTTTCCTACTTCCATGTTTTATTTTCCTCTGTACTTCTATGTTTTATTTTCCTCTGTACTTCCATGTTTTATTTTCCTCTGTACTGCTATGTTTTATTTTCCTCTGTACTGCTATGTTTTATTTTCCTCTGTACTGCTATGTTTTATTTTCCTCTGTACTTCCATGTTTTATTTTCCTCTGTACTTCTATGTTTTATTTTCCTCTGTACTTCTATGTTTTATTTTCCTCTGTACTTCTATGTTTTATTTTCCTCTGTACTGCTATGTTTTATTTTCCTCTGTACTTCCATGTTTTATTTTCCTCTGTACTGCTGTTTTATTTTCCTCTGTACTTCTATGTTTTATTTTCCTCTGTACTGCTATGTTTTATGTGTCTATACTTTGTTATGTAATCTGGTTGTATCTTTTATTTGTAGTTTGTTTGCACAATCCCTTTCTGCATGTCTTAATGTAAATACATGTTACTTTGCCTGGCTATACTTTGTGTATTTTATGATACTTATTGTCTATACACCATGTTTATGTCCAATACACACTTTTTTTAGTTTATTACAAGTTCAGCATATTCGACTATAAATCTTCTGTATCAGTTCAGTGTACACAATCGTAATCAAACCTGTCTTCTATTGAATGGGCGGCGAGTTTGTGGCCTACGTGGGGCAGTCGCCAGGTAAACCATTGACAACAAAAACATCCCAAACATGATATTACTTTAATATACATCAGTAAGATGTAATATATGTCTCTTCCTGGTGTACACTAGCAGAGTACAGTTTCTGTTTTAACTCAGCAGGACACAGTCTTTCTATTGTCCTGCTAATATCATCAGCTCGATATCTATTTGAGAAATGCACCAGCATGAGATTGCCCACCTTGGAAAAGATGTGAGGATTTCGTATGATCTCGTGAAGATGAATGTGGCCTCGTTCTCTGGTCATAGCTTCATTTATATTCTTATATGTGTTTATATAGGTACACTCTGTGATGAGTACTTTCACTTTGAGTATGTCAGCAATTGGCGGCTTTAGGAATACCTCAAAAGTAGTATCACCTGAAAAAAATTGAGTAATTAACATTTCATAAACAAGAATGGTCACTTCACATTATCCAGCCATAAAATAAAAGTATTCTCTACACAAACTGCTAAACTAATTAAATCTAGCTTTACTTTCTGCAGTAAGTGTACATATCAAATCAACAGCAACCTTACTAACAACCACATGGTTATGTTCATTCAGCCAATAGGGTTGCTTGTTTCAAGCATGTTCAAGTCATTAATTGAAAATATACTATTATCATGTAAAAAAGATGTGTTCATTTTAAGGCAGGTAGTACATTTGGTTCCCATCATATACTATTTCTATGCTATTGTTACCTGTGTATACTATTTCTATGATATTGTTACCTGTGTATACTATTTCTATGCTATTGTGACCTGTGTATACTATTTCTATGTTATTGTGACCTGTGTATACTATTTCTATGATATTGTTACCTGTGTATACTATTTCTATGCTATTGTGACCTGTGTATACTATTTCTATGATATTGTGACCTGTGTATACTATTTCTATGATATTGTTACCTGTGTATACTATTTCTATGCTACTGTGACCTGTGTATACTATTTCTATGCTATTGTTAACTGTGTATACTATTTCTATGATATTGTTACCTGTGTATACTATTTCTATGATATTGTTACCTGTGTATACTATTTCTATGCTATTGTGACCTGTGTATACTATTTCTATGTTATTGTGACCTGTGTATACTATTTCTATGATATTGTTACCTGTGTATACTATTTCTCTGATAAAATTAATTGTGTCACTATTTTTATATTTCATAGTTACCTGTCTGTTTTTCAATGTTGTACTTACCAGTATAGGCTAATTCTGGAATAACTGTTTGTTCGTAAATTTGTTCCCCACGTTGTTCTAGATCTCTTAATTCATTCCAACTATGTTTTGAGAATTTGTCCTTGATCTGTGAGATTGTCTTGTACAGTAAAAATCCCATACTTGGTACACGATGAAATGTCTTAAATGGAACTACATGGTAGGGTCCCGGTAACTAAAAGTAACCAATCATACAGCATGTCACATAATATTAAATAGAACTACATGGTAGGGTCCAGGTAACCAATCATACAGCATGTCACATAATATTAAATGGAACTACATGGTAGGGTCCAGGTAACCAATCATACAGCATGTCACATAATATTAAATGGAACTACATGGTAGGGTCCAGGTAACCAATCATACAGCATGTCACATAATATTAAATGGAACTACATGGTAGGGTCCAGGTAACCAATCATACAGCACGTCACATAATATTAAATGGAACTACATGGTAGGGTCGAGGTAACCAATCATACAGCATGTCACATAATATCAAATAGAACTAAATGGTAGGGTCCAGGTAACCAATCATACAGCATGTCACATAATATTAAATAGAACTACATGGTAGGGTCGAGGTAATCAATCATACAGCACGTCACATAATATTAAATGGAACTACATGGTAGGGTCGAGGTAACCAATCATACAGCATGTCACATAATATTAAATGGAACTACATGGTAGGGTCGAGGTAACCAATCATACAGCATGTCACATAATATTAAATAGAACTACATGGTAGGGTCGAGGTAACCAATCATACAGCATGTCACATAATATTAAATAGAACTACATGGTAGGGTCCAGGTAACCAATCATACAGCATGTCACATAATATTAAATGGAACTACATGGTAGGGTCGAGGTAACTACAGGTAACCAATCATACAGCATGTCACATAATATTAAATAGAACTACATGGTAGGGTCAAGGTAACCAATCATACAGCACGTCACATAATATTAAATGGAACTACATGGTAGGGTTGAGGTAACCAATCATACAGCATGTCACATAATTTTAAATAGATATATGTTATACATATATTGTAATTAATATGAAAAAACAAATTTAAATTGTCATGACCGAGACATGAAAATGAAACAATGTCAAGTGAACTAAGGTTAAGTGATTCACCATTTAGAGTATAAATGTGTACTCGGGTAAGTGATTCACCATTTAGAGTATTATAAATGTGTACTAAGGTTAAGTGATTCACCATTTAGAGTATAAATGTGTACTCGGGTAAGTGATTCACCATTTAGAGTATAAATGTGTACTCGGGTAAGTGATTCACCATTTAGAGTATTATAAATGTGTACTAAGGTTAAGTGATTCACCATTTAGAGTATAAATGTGTACTAAGGTTAAGTGATTCACCATTTAGAGTATTATAAATGTGTACTAAGGTTAAGTGATTCACCATTTAGAGTATTATAAATGTGTACACAGGTAAGTGAATCACCATTTAGAGTATTATAAATGTGTACTCAGGTAAGAGATTCACCATTTAGAGTATTATAAATGTGTACTCAGGTTAAGTGATTCACCATTTAGAGTATTATAAATGTGTACTCGGGTAAGTGATTCACCATTTAGAGTATTATAAATGTGTACTCAAGTTAAGTGATTCACCATATAGAGTATTATAAATGTGTACTAAGGTTAAGTGATTCACCATTTAGAGTATTATAAATGTGTACACAGGTAAGTTATTCACCATTTAGAGTATTATAAATGTGTACACAGGCAAGTTATTCACCATTTAGAGTATTATAAATGTGTACACAGGTAAGTGATTCACCATTTAGAGTATTATAAATGTGTACACAGGTAAGTTATTCACCATTTAGAGTATAAATGTGTACTCAGGTTAAGTGATTCACCATTTAGAGTATTATAAATGTGTACTCGGGTAAGTGATTCACCATTTAGAGTATAAATGTGTACTCGGGTAAGTGAATCACCATTTAGAGTATTATAAATGTGTACACAGGTAAGTTATTCACCATTTAGAGTATTATAAATGTGTACTCAAGTTAAGTGATTCACCATATAGAGTATTATAAATGTGTACTAAGGTTAAGTGATTCACCATATAGAGTATTATAAATGTGTACACAGGTAAGTGAATCACCATTTAGAGTATTATAAATGTGTACACAGGTAAGTGATTCACCATTTAGATTATTATAAATGTGTACACAGGTAAGTGAATCACCATTTGGAGTATAAATGTGTACTCAGGTTAAGTGATTCACCATTTAGAGTATTATAAATGTGTACACAGGTAAGTTATTCACCATTTAGAGTATTATAAATGTGTACACAGGTAAGTTATTCACCATTTAGAGTATAAATGTGTACTCAGGTTAAGTGATTCACCATTTAGAGTATTATAAATGTATGAAATAAACTTTGTCAATTAGGCTATGTTAACAATTATAAAAAAAAAAAGATTACATAAATTATTGTTTGTAAGGACCCAGTCCTTCGTTATCTCACTTAAAACAGCTTGATCTGTAAAAAAAAAAAAAAAAACAGAACAACAAAACAAAAAGTTAAAAACAACAAATACCAGTATTAATATTAAGGAAACATAAATAAAGTAACAAACCTTAATTGACTCATTTGGTTTAGCCACAATCAGGTCTGCCTTGAATGGAAATTCAGATATCTTTTGAAAGTTTTCATGTATAACATGCATGGGTGCAATCACATCATTACCCAGGTAGTATTTGGCGGGAGGTAAGTTTACTAACGAGCGTTTACTGGCATGTTGATTTATGGCAGAACAGTGGTCCATGTGGCCATGGCTAAAAAAAAGGAAATTTCAAAACATTAATAACATGATGTATATTATTGTAAGTTAATGCACACTTAATCTATATGATTGAAATATAAACAAATGGTAAAGTTACAGTAATTATTAAGTAATAGTTGTTTTCTGGTACAGGAACTAGAATAGTTACTCTAGACCAGACTCTATTATCTATACTATTACAGGAACTACTGTAGTTCCTCTACACCAGACTGTATTATCTATACTATTACAGGAACTACTGTAGTTCCTCTACAGTTCCTCTACACCAGACTCTATTATCTATACTAAAACAGGAACTTCTGTAGTTCCTCTACACCAGAATCTATTATCTATACTATAACAGGAACTTCTGTAGTTCCTCTACACCAGAATCTATTATCTATACTATAACAGGAACTACTGTAGTTCCTCTACACCAGAATCTATTATCTATACTATAACAGGAGCTACTGTAGTTCCTCTACACCAGACTGTATTATCTATAATATAACAGGAACTACTGTAGTTCCTCTACAGTTCCTCTACACCAGTCTCTATTATCTATACTATAACAGGAACTACCGTAGTTCCTCTACACCAGAATCTATTATCTATACTATAACAGGAACTACTGTAGTTCCTCTACACCAGACTCTTTTATCTATACTATAACTGGAACTACTGTATTTCCTCTACAGTTCCTCTACACCAGTCTCTATTATCTATACTATCACTGGAACTATCGTAGTTCCTCTACACCATACTCTTTTATCTATACTATAACAGGAACTACTGTAGTTCCTCTACACTAGACTCTATTATCTATACTATAACAGGAACTACCGTAGTTCCTCTACACTAGACTGTATTATCTATACTATAACAGGAACTACTACAGTTCCTCTACACCAGACTCTATTATCTATACTATAACAGGAACTACTGTAGTTCCTCTACACCAGACTCTATTTTTATCTATACTATAACAGGAACTACCGTAGTTCCTCTACACTAGACTGTATTATCTATACTATAACAGGCACTACTGTAGTTCCTCTTCACCAGACTCTATTATCTATACTATAACAGGAACTACTGTAGTTACTCTACACCAGTCTCTATTATCTATACTATAACTGGAACTACTGTATTTCCTCTACACCAGTCTCTATTATCTATACTATAACAGGAACTACTGTAGTTCCTCTACAGTTCCTCTACACCAGTCTCTATTATCTACACTAAAACAGGAACTTCTGTAGTTCCTCTACACCAGTCTCTATTATCTATACTAAAACAGGAACTACTGTAGTTCCTCTACACCAGACTCTATTATCTATACCATAACAGGAACTACTGTAGTTCCTCTACACCAGACTCTATTTTTATCTACACTATAACAGGAACTACTTCAGTATCTCTACACCAGACTCTATTATCTATACTATAACTGGAACTACTGTATTTCCTCTACACCAGTCTCTATTATCTATACTATAACAGGAACTACTGTAGTTCCTCTACAGTTCCTCTACACCAGTCTCTATTATCTACACTAAAACAGGAACTTCTGTAGTTCCTCTACACCAGTCTCTATTATCTATACTAAAACAGGAACTACTGTAGTTCCTCTACACCAGACTCTATTATCTATACCATAACAGGAACTACTGTAGTTCCTCTACACCAGACTCTATTTTTATCTACACTATAACAGGAACTACTTCAGTATCTCTACACCAGACTCTATTATCTATACTATAACAGGAACTACTGTAGTTCCTCTACAGTTCCTCTACACCAGTCTCTATTATCTACACTAAAACAGGAACTTCTGTAGTTCCTCTACACCAGTCTCTATTATCTATACTAAAACAGGAACTACTGTAGTTCCTCTACACCAGACTGTATTATCTATACCATAACAGGAACTACTGTAGTTCCTCTACACCAGACTCTATTTTTATCTACACTATAACAGGAACTACTTCAGTATCTCTACACCAGACTCTATTATCTATACTATAACTGGAACTACTGTATTTCCTCTACACCAGTCTCTATTATCTATACTATAACAGGAACTACTGTAGTTCCTCTACAGTTCCTCTACACCAGTCTCTATTATCTACACTAAAACAGGAACTTCTGTAGTTCCTCTACACCAGTCTCTATTATCTATACTAAAACAGGAACTACTGTAGTTCCTCTACACCAGACTCTATTATCTACACCATAACAGGAACTACTGTAGTTCCTCTACACCAGACTCTATTTTTATCTACACTATAACAGGAACTACTTCAGTATCTCTACACCAGACTCTATTATCTATACTATAACAGGAACTACTGTAGTTCCTCTACACCAGACTGTTTTATCTATACTATAACAGGAACTACTGTAGTTCCTCTACACCAGAATCTATTATCTGTACTATAACAGGAACTACTGTAGTTCCTCTATACCAGAATCTATTATCTATACTATAACAGGAACTACTTCAGTATCTCTACACCAGACTCTTTTATCTATACTATAACATGAACTACTGTAGTTCCTCTACACCAGACTGTATTATCTATACCATAACAGGAACTACTGTAGTTCCTCTACACCAGACTCTATTTTTATCTACACTATAACAGGAACTACTTCAGTATCTCTACACCAGACTCTATTATCTATACTATAACAGGAACTACTGTAGTTCCTCTACACCAGACTGTTTTATCTATACTATAACAGGAACTACTGTAGTTCCTCTACACCAGAATCTATTATCTATACTATAACAGGAACTACTTCAGTATCTCTACACCAGACTCTATTATCTATACTATAACAGGAACTACTGTAGTTCCTCTACACCAGACTCTATTATCTATAATATAACAGGAACTACTGTAATTCCTCTACACTAGACTCTATTATCTATACTATAACAGGAACTACTGTAGTTCCTCTACACCAGAATCTATTATCTATACTATAACAGGAACTACTGTAGTTCCTCTACACCAGACTGTATTATCTATAATATAACAGGAACTACTGTAGTTCCTCTACACCAGAATCTATTATCTATACTATAACAGGAACTACTTCAGTATCTCTACGCCAGACTCTTTTATCTATACTATAACAGGAACTACTGTAGTTCCTCTACACCAAACTCTATTATCTATACAATAACAGGAACTACTGTAGTTCCTCTACACTAGACTCTATTATCTATAATATAACAGGAACTACCATAGTTCCTCTACACCAGACTCTATTATCTATACTATAACAGGAACTACTGTAGTTACTCTACACCAGACTCTATTATCTATACTATAACAGGAACTACTGTAGTTCCTCTACACCAGTCTCTATTATCTATACTATAACAGGAACTACTGTAGTTCCTCTACACCAGACTCTATTATCTATACTATAACAGGAACTACTGTAGTTACTCTACACCAGACTCTATTATCTATACTATAACAGGAACTACTGTAGTTCCTCTACACCAGTCTCTATTATCTATACTATAACAGGAACTACTGTAGTTCCTCTACACCAGACTCTATTATCTATACTATAACAGGAACTACTGTAGTTCCTCTACACCAGACTCTATTATCTATACTATTACAGGAACTACTGTAGTTCCTCTACACCAGACTCTATTATCTACATTATAACTTTAAATGAAATGATCCCTTACATTTCTCTTCCTCACACCCGATATTTTTGGCTCTCATATTGGTACAAGATTATCAATCTTACTTTTTTCTTCCACCTGATCTTTTCCTGTCATGAAACATTCTAACCCTGTTACATATATGCCCATTAATACTAACCTGGTCACTTAATTCTTTCATTTCTGATTATATTTAGGAATATGTCTGCCATTAAAAGTAATGGTTTCTTAAACTAAAACACACAATAATCATGAAGGAAATGTTGTCACTCTCCAAGTATTTATCATATGTATGTTTTATATTCATGCACACCTATGGCCCGTTAGGTGTTAGAAAATAAACTTTCACTAATTTGAAGTGAATTATTGATTTATTTTGACACATTATATAAAATCAGCAAAACAAACCATTTATGTCTATTATGATACGACAGCTTTGAATACTTTATTAGGCAAAATAAAAAAAGTTTCCAATCCTCTAACTTTGAAATCCAAGGGGTATCATTCTTGAGTTAAAATGTGTACAGGGTGACTTACAGGTGTACAGGGTGACTTAAAGGTGTACCTAGTATCTTAATGGTGAACTGTATGACTTACAGGTGTGAAGAGTGATTTAAAGATAAACCTAGTGACTTAATGGTAAACCATGTGACTTACAGGTGTGCATGCTGACTTAAAGGTGACATAGTGACTTAATGGTAAACTGTGTGACTTACAGGTGTGAAGGCTGACTTAAAGGTGACATAGTGACTTAATGGTAAACCGTGTGACTTACAGATGTGCAGGCTGACTTAAAGGGGACATAGTGACTTAATGGTAAACCATGTGACTTAATGGTGATCTGTGTGACTTACAGGTGTACAGGCTGACTTAAAGGGGACATAGTGACTTAATAGTAAACCATGTGACTGACAGGTGCAGGCTGACTTCAAGGTGTACATAGTGACTTAATGGTAAACCTTGGGACTTACAAGTGTGCAGGCTGACTTAAAGGTGTACATAGTGACTTAATGGTAAACCATGTGACTTAAAGGTGAACTGTGTGACTTAAAGGTGTACATGGTAACTTAAAGGTGAACAGGGTGACTTAAAGGTGAACTATGTGACTTAAAGGTGTACATGGTGACTTATAGGTGTACAGGGTGACTTATAGGTGTACATGGTGACTTAATGGTAAACCTTGGGACTTACAAGTGTGCAGGCTGACTTAAAGGTGTACATAGTGACTTAATGGTAAACCATGTGACTTAAAGGTGAACTGTGTGACTTAAAGGTGTACATGGTAACTTAAAGGTGAACAGGGTGACTTAAAGGTGAACTGTGTGACTTAAAGGTGTACATGGTGACTTATAGGTGTACAGGGTGTCTTATAGGTGTACATGGTGACTTATAGGTGTACAGGTTAACTTATAGGTGTACAGGGTGACTTAAAGGTGTACATGGTGACTTATAGGTGTACAGGGTGACTTAATGGTGAACTGTGTGACTTAAAGGTGTACATGGTAATTTAAAGGTGAACAGGGTGACTTAAAGGTGAACTGTGTGACTTAAAGGTGTACATGGTGACTTATAGGTGTACAGGGTGGCTTATAGGTGTACAGGGTGACTTAAAGGTGTACATGGTAACTTAAAGGTGAACAGGGTGACTTAAAGGTGAACTGTGTGACTTAACGGTGTACATAGTGACTTACAGGTGTACAGGGTGACTTTAAGGTGAACTGTGTGACTTAAAGGTGTACAGGGTGTCTTACAGGTGTACAGAGTGACTTTAAGGTGTACAATGCAGTATGCACCTTTACTGCATGCTTAGAATATGTGTCTAACTGAAGGCTCATATATACACCATTATAAAGATGAACTTGTATATATTCTATAAGGCAAATCTAATCACTATCTGACCAAATATATCACCACTAGGCTGATGGTCCATCTTTTGAGATCACACAAGCCCTAAACCCTACCTAAACTTTATCATTGCTATGTGTTACCTTTTACCTAAATCTTAGAACACAGATGAACATAAATCTGTTTTACGTAGTGAAAAAAAGGAAAAACACATTCCAACTGAATGTCATGACAGGAAAATACCCAGGTCTCTGGCGTTGTAATATCCCCCAAGCCATAAAAACATCACCCGAGTGACAGAGAACATATTTAACACTAGGTTTGAGCCAGACTGACCTGCTATGTAATTTCCAGGGATTTGGTTACATGTACACTGTACAGTTAAGAGCTTTCCATTCAGCTCTGACAAATGCCAATAGAGCAGAGAATCAAAAAGGGGGGAAATATTGTATGTAGGTTACCCTTAGCTTTTAGTTGTTGTCTTCATGGACTTAGATATGCAAGTCTGTGATGTTGATTCACCTGTCAATAAAGTGGTTAGAGAGAAAAAGGTCCAACAAATTAAGAACAAATATTCTACAATGGTGAGTACCAAAATACCACCTGTTAAATGTTGAAGAAGAATGCAGCTCTCGGGCATTGCAGAGCTGAGCTTGTCAGAACTTACGGGGAGGGTTAGATAATCAAAATCTGATACTGGACGGAGTTATCACTCTGATGTGTTGTTTTGATTTATGAAGTAGCAGGTTTACTTCCGTGCAGAAATATAACAGTGCAGTTTCACTCGACCCTATTCGAGAACAAGAAATGTGTTTTCTGTTAGAGTTACCTCCCTTTATTGACAAACAAACGTTTCCAACAGGGAGTCGATACATGTACATTTAAAAACTATCTTACTTTAATCTACCACAATCAGCCACGTGTTTATCTCACCTAATAAACACGTGACTACACGGAACACTTGTTTGGCAAGCGTAACCCATATCAAATGCCAGTTGTAAACTTTTAGAATTCCCAACACTGAGGCCGACCACAACACATGACTCCAATCCTGCACACGTCCATGGAGCAATGTCGATATTTCCTATCTTGATCCGTCTCGAAAGTCCGTGTGGCTTTAATTTGGTGATTCCATCTGTACAAAACTGTTTTTCATGTCTCGATAGATTTTGTAAAGTAAAACGTCTAACAATTGTCATCTTTGTTGTTCGACACAACGTGACAGCCATTTTCACAATATTTGCGCGTAGTAGTCTAAGGGAGATTACTCTAGGATGTCTCATTATTAACCAACAAGACCGACAATGAATCATTAATAGTGAGCCGAGGAAACAGAAATTAAGAAACCATTTTAAATAAGTTTATGTATTGATTACATGAATTTAAGAAAAACACAACACAAAATTGTTGACACTGTTAAACAGTATAACTTGAGATATAACTATCACCCAGTGGAATTAAGTTGATATGACCGTCAGGTATCGTGATGCCATTACCCAAATTGATACGTACACAAATCGACACATTTTTAGGGGGAGGGGGGGGGAACTGTCCTACAACAATAACAAGGGTTGTAACTCGATCGCCTTGGTAGATAGGACCCCATTTCAGGAAATTTGTGATTGTCAATACACTGTCCGCTGGGAGTGGTCTGAATCCAATGATAAAACGTTTTTCTTAGATTTAGAACATGCTTCACTTTCGCGTCCTAGGTCTAAACTTCCCAAACTTCATCGAACCAGCGACGTATAAAATAAGTTTCTAATTAAACATCGTTAAACTATCATACTTAGTCATCCTCGACACTCCAGGGGTATCACTTTCGCTTTCTTGAACACCCCTGGAATATGTCATAACAAATTGAAGGCACGGGCGAAGTCATTTGTTTGGTTCCAGGAGAAAATACCTGACCAGTCACTGGCTGATACTCTCCTTCTGAAGATTAAAAGAGCGACACCAAACTTCAAATCCATTACAATAATACCTTAATGCGACATTGAGATTCGTTTGATGAGCATCAAAGGATCAAACTTGTCTTTTCGTCTTGTCTACAGGGTATCGCACGTTGAACCTTCAATTTCGTCATGACATGTTCCAGGGGTAAAGAGGGCGAAAGTGATAGTGAGTGTTACTTCTGACGCTATTTCGTGAATTCTCTTAACATTTTAATTAATTTTGCAATGTTGTTCAAGTAAATTTTCAAGCTGTCTGACTGTAGTAGCCTTATAACACTTCCATAATTAGTTTTCTGGTGAGGAATTACAATGAGTAAACTAAAGACGGCAACAGAAGTAGGTACCAGGGACATACGCAAGAATAAGTCATGCAGTTAGTGAGATACTTTTGACTTCAGAATTCCATATTTCATAAAGAAATCGCGGACTATTTTTTAATGTGCGTTTTACCGAAAACATGCGTGTAGCCTACATTATAATTACATATGATTAATTTTAAAATATACTTTAGATGACAGTTCACATTTAGTAGGTCATAATCATGATATGGGTGCGACGTTTAAAAAAACTCGTATGGGCTGTCCCATCAAATGTTGTGACGTCATCAGACACATGTCAGGCCAGTTAGTTTTGTCAACAATCATGGCGGAACACGTATGATAACATTACAAACCCCGGAAGCGAAGTAGAGTAGTCGCGATTCGTAAGGAAACGGAATTCTGCAATATGGAGCTAAAAACATAGGTTGTTTTCATTGAACTTTGCAGTATGAGTGGGAAGTTAACACAGGAAATAGACATGGATGTGGTAGCGTTCTTTGCTCGCGAGTGGAGGAAAAAGTTTCCGGCTGTTGACGAGCCTAGTTTGCTGAATTCAGATAATTTTTCATCGCGAAAATTACCACTTTCTGAGCTTCAGCAATTACTTAAAGATTCAAAACTGAAGGTGGAAGATATCAGAAGTCAGCTTGATCGAGCTGTTTTCATGGAACATTTTTTATCGAACTTGGTGACAGTTCGTACTGGTGCAGACATTGAGAATGTCAGTTTCACGGAAGTCAGCGATTTGACAGGTGTTACGAAAGTACGTGTAGGATCGGCTAGGGCTGAAATGACCTCAAAAACTGAACAAAACAATCCTGAGGCAGTTGACTTTACGGGGAGTCAAGCGGTCACTAAAATCATTGTGGGTGATATCCAGGAGGGAGGGTCTGGTAGGCCGAGGGTACACGGTCTGATGTCAAGGGGACCAGGCACGTGTACAGGCAAATCAAAAGGTAAACAACAGGTGGACTCAGAATTCTCATCTACCTGGTTGGACAATTTGTCTGGTTTACAAAAGGAAAATGGATCGTCAAGCGATGAAGAAACAGTTAATGAACATGTAAATTCATTGGTTGATAATTTAGAAGATAAGAATCCCACAGGAGATTCAAATATGGTAAATAGCAGTCTAGCAACTGTGGAATTGGGTGTAGATAGCACACAGGATGTATTTCATACAAACCAGCATGATTCATCTGATTTAAGCTCCAGAGTGAAGTCTGCTAAAGAAGAAAACCAAAACAATGATGAGCAATTAGACTTGCATTATGGTAATAGTCGTCAGTCGGTATCAGATCGTGTGAAATCAGTAGAAAGGAAGATATCTTGCAAGAAAAATTCAGAATTACCCGTTGTGCCATCAGAGCAGACCAACGCTCCTCCCCCGCTACGACCGAGGCCAATCAGCAGGCCTCGGTTGTCACGACCAAAACCTCCGCCAATCTCCAGGAATTCAAGTGCTGATAACGAAACACTTCCACAGAAAAGTGAGAGTGAACCAGAGCTAACATCTTCTTTGAAATTCAGGAAACCTCAGGAAACACAATCTGGTCTGGATAACAGGAAACACGCTGATCTTCTATTATATCCTGTACCTATTGGTCACAAAGCTGTGACTGAAATTGATCCTACTCAATGTCGACCTGAATCAGATCATTTGTATAAACCAGGAAATGAAACTGAAACTGCGGCCATCGAACATATTACAGTCACTTCCCCAGCTGACTACAACAGCACAGAGCACCATATATATAAAAATGTGCCACAAGATTGTGGAAGCAATTCAATGGATGAAGATATGAAGAAAATAAGGAAACTTTCCAGGAGTTTTAGCAAAGATTCTGAAACTCATAATGTCCTGGTTACAAGTTTCAGAAGATTTCCTGATAGTGAAACAAATGACACTGTTGACAACATAAACAATGACAGCCTTAACCCCAGTCGTGAGGAAGAAAGTTTGGAGTCAGATGATAAGAGTACATTTCGAGGTATTGTTTCACGAATAAAGGACCATGAGCTACATAACTCACATACCAATGCTGCTGACAGAAAAAAGAAGTCAAACTATTTAAACATTTCAATTAATGTACTGTTGACTCAAACTCATAAACTAACAGTTTCTGATGATAGTTCAGACTCCGAGAATGAGGATGGAGCTTTACCGAGTACCACAGTAGCAGTTGGTGAGGAGGTGAGACAAAATGATAAACAGACAGAAGAGGTCGACAGATCCTCCCAGGATAATAACACTCTCTCCATCCCAGATGTGCACCACACTCACAGGAAGAAATTTTCTACAACTTGTAAGTTCATTACTTTTTTTATTTTAATTTGAAGAGATACCAGAGTTGAGATGCTCTGGGATACATATACTCTAACAGGAGGCCAGTCTGTAGGTTTTAGTGCATCTTATGTGCTCTTCTGTCTTCCACTTTTAATGCCCCATCCATTGATATTTTATGAATACTTTGTAGAAGAAGAGCAGGCAGAAATGAGAGTCATCTCTCAGATCATGATATTATGATTTTTGATGTAGATATCTTCTGATGGAGTATATTTATAGTTTCTACTTGTAATTTGGTTAAGTTTGACACATGTCACTATGTATAATTTTCTTTTACAATACCTTAATGCTGTGAAATCAACTCAAAGAAATCTAAGTTCTTGTTTTTATTTGTGAAAAATAAAAATTAGATACACAATGCACATAGAGATAAATACAGACTAGGGCTGTGTATATTGTGACAATACAGTCGCCCATTATGTCCAATTTCATTTAAGATGCTCCCATCAAAATACATTTAGACAAATATTTCCTTAATAGCATCTATAGCATTTAGATCAATATATCTACAGTGAAACTTACTACTTATAAAAGAAGTGAAAGTTTTGAACCATACACCATGTAGCTTACAGTAATATCGTACTTATCTAACAGTGATCCTAGGGCTGGTTATATACCCACCCAAGCATGTTTTTGTAAATTTATAAACACCTCTTTTCTTACATACAGTGCTAGACGATGCCCTGTTGATGTTGATAGTTGACAATTTGTAGATGTTGTTGTCGGTAGTCATCTACTTGTGTACATACCACAGGCTGATTCATGTTAGATGACAGTTTCTCAAGCTTAAGGCTCACATGTTTTAGTATATCTTCATGCAGATATATTTTTTCATGATATGTGCATATACTAACTTAAAAAAACCAGGTCATTCATTCATACACATATTGTTATTGCAATGATATAAAGACGTTAAGGCACCACTATTCTGTATACAGAGCATAAGACATAAAACAATAGTCAGGTTGCTTCTAATTGAAATAATAATTGCGGTGAAAAAAAGCCATTTTGCTGCGGATCTTTGTGCTATATATATCACAGTTATCTGTCTGTTATTGATTTCTTTGTTATATGATTTAGATTAAAGTTTGACAGTAGCGACAGATGTCCTTAGACTTTGATTAATTGATATAACTATCTTATTGTCAGAGAGATGTCCACCAGATGGTCTCCAGAATAAACTAGTACATACATTAGTATACATACCTGGCCCAAGTTTATGGTATTTGATCAGGATTCTAACCAGGGAAATTCATAATTTAACAAGGGTTTATCAAATTTGTTCAAAGGAGTGACCTTGACTCTTTGTCAGGATCATATGGATCATAAGTTAATCACACAAATGACCTTATAACCTACATTCATGTCTCAAAGGTCATATTCATTTGAATCATAAAGTTCCTTCTGTGAAAGAACCAAGTGACCCAGCCTGATGTCATATTTGGCAGTGATATATATATATACTGTAATAAAGTATAATAGTGCTACATTTATCAAGTTTATATTTTGTCATTGATGTAATATTTCAAATATCAATCTGAAGAATAAGAAACACTAATTTGAAATACAGTAGATTTAGTGTTTATGAAAATGTATAAGCAGGACATGTATTCAAATAAAAAAAAAATTAAAATAGATATGTAAAGTATGACATTTAGCGTAATTTTGATCTAGGCATGTACAGTATAACATTTAGCGTAATTTTGATCTAGGTATGTACAGTATAACCAGGGCTCTCGATCTACCAGATTTCGGTCCGAATCCCAAAATGGGGTGTGAGAGCCCTGAAAACATTTAGCATAATTTTGAAAGTTAACAAAAATTTTACCTTCAATGCAAATTAAGGAAATTTAAACATGAATAAAAAGTGGAGAATCCTTTTTAAGGACATTTATTCTGATGATAATGAAACTTACATCAATCATATACAGGAAATGAGAAATATTCCAGGATAATTTTTCAGGAAACGTTTAATGGAGAGCAGTTTCCTTATTTACTTAAATGGTTAATATACATAATTTCTGGTAATTACATATAAAATGTAAATGTAGAATGTAAAATCCTCAAAATGTACATATGTCAGAAATACATGTAGAATGTAAAATCCTCAAAATGTACATGTCAGAAATACATGTAGAATGTAAAATCCTCAAAATGTACATGTCAGAAATACATGTAGAATGTAAAATCCTAAAATGTACATGTCAGAAATACAAAATGTAAAATCCTCAAAATGTACATGTCAGAAATACATGTAGAATGTAAAATCCTCAAAATGTACATGTCAGAAATACATGTAGAATGTAAAATCCTCAAAATGTACATGTCAGAAATACATGTAGAATGTAAAATCCTCAAAATGTACATATGTCAGAAATACATGTAGAATGTAAAATCCTCAAAATGTACATATGTCAGAAATACATGTAGAATGTAAAATCCTCAAAATGTACATGTCAGAAATACATGTAGAATGTAAAATCCTCAAAATGTACATATGTCAGAAATACATGTAGAATGTAAAATCCTCAAAATGTACATATGTCAGAAATACATGTAGAATGTAAAATCCTCAAAATGTACATATGTCAGAAATACATGTAGAATGTAAAATCCTCAAAATGTACATATGTCAGAAATACATGTAGAATGTGAAATCCTCAAAATGTACATATGTCAGAAATACATGTAGAATGTAAAATCCTCAAAATGTACATATGTCAGAAATACATGTGTATTTGAACAGCAAAATAAAAAAAAATGATTCTAATAAAATTTCTCATAATCAGATCATTGTAGGTAAAATTTCTCATTTGTTTACCATTGCAGTAGCCCTGTTTGAGATAAATGAAATTTACATGTTACCAACATGACTACATCTATCAAAGATAAATACTCCATTCATCCCAAGAAATTTACAATTTATTTTAGGAAAAGAAAGGGTATGAAAGATTTCTATATATTATTCATAAAAATGCAGTTACTGCAGAAAAAGTGAGATGAACATTTTGAAATGGATGGAAATGATTGGAAAATGAAGTTCCAGCTTCCTTCTTCTGAAAAACAGAATGTAAAATAATAGTGACTTCAATTCAGCATTAGTCGCCATATCCTGACAACAAAATAGGTCTAGCAGATAGTCCTTAGTGTTATTCTTGTAAAACAGAAATTAAAACAATGAAAAGTATCTTATGGAATTGTAAGAAAGTTAAAAATTTACTACAAAATCTAAAAAGCTTATTTTAAACTCTTTATTTTTATAAAAAAAACCCCTTTCTTTTTGGTGTTGTTAATCGCAATGTAAACAGGAAAGTAGATAACATGAAGTATTGGAACTCTGAAAATCACACAAACAGAAACATACACAGTTAAAAAATACCTAGGTATAAGCAAGGCAGAGAATCATGCACCTCAAGTGATTTAGGAGAGAATGGACGATATGGACAAATTTAGTAGAAACCTAAACTAAAAAAAAATTTGAAACCAATAAATTTTCATGTTCCAAAGACTGTTCTTTTAATAATTTCACATCAACAGAGGAATTCAGGTATTATCTTAGCTTTTCAACCAGCATTGATATTTGTATAATAATGTATGAAAGTGAGGACGTGTGTGTGTACATGACAGGGAGGTGTGTGTGTGTGATGAAGGGTGAAAGGGTATGTGTTATTGTGTAACTTTGTTTGAATTTTGAACAATATTTGTTTTATGATGATTTCTGATTTAAGAATAGTGGGCGTGTAAATATATCAGTGCTAAATTTGTATGATAATGTAATGTTAGGTTTTTGTAATGCCTATTTATACCAATGTAAATAAAAAAAAAAAAATAAGAATTTTACATGAGGGAAGTGTGGCAGCAATTTGATCTGTGATTTTGTTGTCTCAAATTTTACTTTTTTCTGGCCAGTTATATATCAGATTAGACGTTTGTATAACCAATCATTTCGCCTTTATCTGTTAGAAATATACATTGTTCCTTTAACCCAATCTTTATCATTTAGCCTTTATCTGTTAGAAATATACATTGTTCCTTTAACCCAATCTTTATCATTTAGCCTTTATCTGTTAGAAATATACACTGTTCCTTTAACCCAATCTTTATCATTTAGCCTTTATCTGTTAGAAATATACATTGTTCCTTTAACCCAATCTTTATCATTTAGCCTTTATCTGTTAGAAATATACATTGTTCCTTTAACCCAATCTTTATCATTTAGCCTTTATAGAAATATACATTGTTCCTTTAACCCAATCTTTATCATTTAGCCTTTATCTGTTAGAAATATACATTGTTCCTTTAACCCAATCTTTATCATTTCGCCTTTATCTGTTAGAAATATACATTGTTCCTTTAACCCAATCTTTATCATTTAGCCTTTATCCGTTAGAAATATACATTGTTCCTTTAACCCAATCTTTATCATTTAGCCTTTATCTGTTAGAAATATACATTATTCCTTTAACCCAATCTTTATCATTAAGTCTTTATCTGTCAGAAATATACTTTGTTCCTTTAACCTAAATATAAACTTAGTTTAAATGTAAATATATCTTATTTTGGATAAAGATGTGACTTTTGTTTGATTTAAAACACAGTAAAAACATCAATGTACCCTTGAATGACCTTGACCCTTTATTAGGTCAATTGATGTTGAACAGTGATTATATTTATTCAGTAATATCAGTTGTTACATTATAAATTTGTGTTGGATTATGATGATGTCACCAAACAAAGAGATATAAGTTGTAAATATTTCCATTAAGGTTTTATATCAGTTTGATAAAGTATTGTTAAATTCGTACTCTATATTCTCAGTAAGAGAGACGTGCAAACACCAGAAATGTCATTCCAGTGCCAGAGAAACTGCAGATTTTATACAAATGAAACACAACACATCTGCATGTGATTTTTTCCCTAATAAAGTCCAAAAAGGAAACCTGTGAAATTTAGAATTGT